CTGTCGGAAGTGCAACTTGCAGTACCATAACTGCGTGCTAAACCCAGCTAATAATCAAGCTCACTGCTTGAGCCAGGCTTGTGGTTGTGCGTCAAAATGCCCCCACCTCCCCCACCCTTAAGGGAAATTTTTCTCAAGAGTATTACCCAGATAGCGACAATGTTTTGTTAGGAATTTTTGGAGTTACCATAACAAGAAAGTTTGACAACCTGCTATCGAAAATAGCATGATTGATTGAAGCATTTGTTGGCGTTGCTAACAGGGAACTTAAGGCTATGTTCACAATATACTGGATAGATTTGACGCCAGCACAAAAACCGTACTACTAGTTCAAACATAAGAACGGTGATTTCGGCGCGATTTATGTAACGGAGCGATACTGCGTTGCGCCAATGTTGAAGATTGAGAGTGCTCGGATAGGTGTTTATAAATCGATGAAGCGGCCGATTCAGCTGTAGCCTGTTCCAGGCGTTTAAAAATTGGAATGCGCACAAAGTCAGAGCGGCAGGGAAAAAAATAACGAGAGAGAGGTGGAGAGAGGAGGGAAACTTCGTTTGCTCGGCTCAACCCAGGCTGTTTTTCTTTTCACATCTTTTCGTGCCGTCTCCAGAAACTGAACGCCTGGAACAGGCTTACACGGCTCAGTTGACCTGGGTAATCTATTTAACCAATAGATTCCATGTTGCAGTGCGCGGTGCGCCCTGTTCAGTAATTCCAGATGACGTCAAAATGTGGTAAAAACAAAAATGCGGCACTGAGCTGCATTGAGCTGCATTGAGCCGCATGCGAGTGTGTCACTGATGTTTTAACCAAATTTTGACGTCTTCTATGATCTATTAGTGAACAGACCCAGGGTTACATGGAATCTATATAGTTTACATAATGAGCAGAAAAGAAACAACGACATACTTGCCTCAGCTTTGCAACAGGAGACAGTTTAAAAGGCCAAATAATATATAGATTTAAGCAGGGCTAAAGGCAAGGCTCCCATTAATAAATTTATAATTTAAATCAAACAATAAACTTGTATTCCACAATTCAGTTAACTTTAGAGTACATTCATGTGACGTTTGAAGGAAAGGCTAAGTGATTTTAGACTAAAATAATTTGCAAACAGCCTAAGATAGCCTTATATGTACACCCCCAAAATAGCAATCATCTTCGATCACATTTTTGATGATAACAAAGAAGAAAAAGAAAAAAAAGAAAACACTTAGACACTTTCTAATAAGTAAGTAAACTTTATTATACTCGGCCTTGAATATACTAAGGCCGATCTGTTGAGGCCTTTGACGAATTATTAATTGACTGATTATTTAATTAAAACTAAAAATTAACTGCATGTCTAAATAAAGAATGTCAATGTATATATATCAATGTCTTAAACACAGCAGACATGCACCGGGACTGACTCGCACTACAATCTTTTATGAATGCTAAAGTGAAAAGAATAAAATCAGATTTTGCATTTGCCGGGAGCGTTTTTAAGTTGTAGTGCAAAGAAATTTTCATGGGGATTTTCGAGTCGGGGGTGTGTCCGAGCAACTCGCTCGCTTAGTCATGAGGTACCAGGAATCTGATTTACATGGTCTTTACTGTTTTTTGACTTTTGCTAACAATCTTAATCTTAATCTTCTTACTCCTCTTCTCTACTCAATCCTTACTCGGCGGTGAGTGAGTAGTTCAAGTGTAGTGGCGGTTTTTATGGCCAAAGTTGGACCTGTTTGGGTAACTGACCGTAGGAATAAAAACAAGGTATACTCGCGGCCGTGTGGGTAATGTTCTGGTATTACTGAACCTACATGGCTGCGATTTACAAGAATCTACAAAGCAATGAATAACTAAAACGCTGGTTAACAAACCCAAACAGGAACTTCAACGAGACTATGAATGAACCAAGGTCAGCTCTGACATGAAAAACACTACCACCTCTGAAAAACTAACATCTGACAATGGCAAGAGAACAATATTCCTAATTAAAATGGCCATGATGGCATTAAGTAAATCCGCGAGCTTAAAGCAAACATTCAAGTAGAAGTCCGAAAATCACAAAATAAACGAAGGAAAATACCTATGCGCACCAAATCCAAACTAACCTTGGCTCACCTAATAGTAGAAAAACGAAACTTAGAAGAAATACAAATCTTAAAAATAACTATTAAAATACTTCACAGCAGTTGTAAAAGTTTTATTAAATTGACCTAAGCTGACGAGTGAGTTCTTTTGTTATAACAGCGCAGGTTCACGTTATCATTGGGTTTTAAGTGCGCTAATAGCCGTTTTTATGCTAGAGACGTTAAAGTCGTCTAGACGCATTTAACGTCTGAGACGTTAAAGTCGTCTGTTAAATGCGTCGTTCGGACGCACTTAAACAGAAGACGTTAAAGTCGTATGACTTATTTACCGTTTTTATACCAGATGTTAAAGTCGTCTTAAGACGACTTTAACGTCTCTAGCATAAAAACGGCCAATTTCAGTCGAAATTCGCGGTTTCCAGACAGGTGGCTCAAGCTGGGAAAAAAATGTGCCTTTTTTAAATCGAAAAATTGATAAACAATTAAAGTTATAACGAAATTAAAGCTTAATTACTCCAGTAAAATAGTAATTTACGGGAAGTACAAAAAAATCATTATCAATTTTACTTTCCTTGACTAAAAATAAGATAACATAAAGAAAAACTTAAATAAGCAAGGACTATGTTCCTGTCTCGTGTTTAATAAATTAAAGATCAAGAAAAGAAAGAAAGAAAGATTTTCTACGTTGTACATGTCGAGAAATATACATTGGGAAGTACATTTTTTGAAGGTAGTAAGTATACTAATATAGCTGCATGTTTCTTGGCCGTAAATAATGAAATGGTTCCTTTTATATTTATTGAGTATGGTCAAGATAAAATACCTCCACCTCATCAGGTGAGAAGTAAAGAGTCCCGGCCAGGATTGTGTCCGGGTTCTTTACTGCAGCAGGAGCAAGGTAGGCCCCCCATTCTGGCTTGGCCCAGTCGTCAAGCATTGCGCGTGAGTTTCTGTATTTGTTGGCATTATTACCAACTTCGAGATTAACATAAAAGCATGGACCATGTGGATCACGGAACCAAGACTGCTTAGCTGCGCTCTTCACCTGACTCACAAAGGGATCCAGTCCTTCTTTATTGATGATTGAAAAAATAAACGTCTTGCGAGAGGGGCGGCACAAACCACTGGAGTCTAACAAACCAACAAAACGTAATTATTATCCTTCAGTCAGTTCCACCTGTGGAATTGACTGATGCATTAACTTTTGAGTAAACACTGTGGTGTAGTTACTCTGTAGTGTATTTTCGCTAGTTTGAATTTATTTATTTATTTTTATTTTTATTCTTGACTTTAAACGAATTATCATAAACTTAAACAAAACAAATTTAATAAGAACCATGACTGAAATGGAATCACACATTTTTTCGACTTTTCTTTTTTTTTCTTATTTTTCTCCCTTCGTTTATTGTATTGCTATTTCGCCCCATGTAAGGTAATCCGGAATCCGGAATCCAGGTAATTTTGGTCTGTGGAATCCGGAATCCACGGCTTTGGAATCCGGAATCCAAGCATTGTAATCCAGAATCCAGGTTGCTGGAATCCACTCTGTTGTGATGGTTCCAGGGCCTCTCTTTTCCTTTAGCGACTGTTGCGTGAAAATCTCATGTCGCAAGGACGCGCAACAGGCATGTTCACGCGTGTTTCACTCGCAGGAACATCCCTTGTCATTGTGACATATCGGGTATCAATTTGAAACAATGGTCACATTATAATGACGTGACAGAATCCCAGGGAGTGATTCATATTACTGTATATTATCGCTCTTTATAAGACACCCTTTCGACCTTTTTCCCCGTTGCGCTTTTGGAGTCGGAGGTTTAGATTCTTTCCTGTTTGGGCGCAATTGGAACTAATTTTTGGATTTCAGGTAACGTCAAAAGAATAATAATATAAAGTATCCTTATTCTTGGCCGCAGTATCAGTAGTCGCGGTGGTTGCAGTTACTGGCTTCTTTCAGGCACATGTCATCAGTGTCACTCAAAGAATGACATGCTGCAGTGGTGTCGACGTGGTGTCTTTCATTCAGTCCAGATTCAATCAGTCGAAAGCAGACATCTCGAGAGATCACTTTGAACTTTGTTCTCAATCGATCGTTAACAATCTTTGTCAGCATGGGGAAGCACAAGAAAAAGCATGAGTCGGAAAGGTACGTACGTCTATAAATTCGGTGTTTGTGACTTTCTGATGGAAATGTTTTGGCGGCGTGGTTTTGAATAGATCAGAATGTGTGAAACAGTAATCTAAAACTTCGAGCAGCTATATCTGTCTGTTTCTATCATGTTCAGAATTATGAGCTAACTATCTTGCAAATTTATGTACAGGAGTCCAAGATAGAAAGAGAGAAAAGCGGAGAAAGAAAAGAAAAGTTCAAGGTCTGTGGAGTTGTCGTTGTTTGTTCTATTCGTGTTTTCTGCTCAAAAAGCGGTGGTTGTGTGAACACTTACTGAAGCGTTTCTGTGATCAAAATTATATTCGAAGGTGACAGCGTTTCCATACCATTTACAGACGTGCTAATTAAATAGAGCATTTGATCAATGAAACGAACATACCAAAGTGAATCCAAAGTAAATTATCGAATTTACTTCACCGTAGAGCTCCGGAAATTGCTTGAAAAGGTCTTCTTCGCCCTTGTAGTTTGTGCATGAGAGAAGATAAAGTATGCACCAGACTGTTCCTATTGGTTTGGGCCACTGACTGCGATCCCAAGCAAAAGAGCTTTATGAATTCCATGCTAGCAGACAGGGCGAAGTACCCCTACCAAGTCCCTATTCCTGACTGCCCACACAACATCAAGTCAGTACGTTCTGCAGAGTTTTGGCATTGGATTGACACCTAGTGAATGTAAGGCTGCTTTTGGTGTTACGTAGAGAATACGAAGACATCAAGAAATCAGTTTCATTGAAAGCAGTTCGAAACAAAGATCGGATGGATGTAGAAACAGCAGTGGAGATTCACCGGAAAGCGATTCAAGATTCCATTCCAGATGAAAGAGTGAGCGCAACATTAGTTCCAGAACTGGAATTCAAGCGCTGGAAAAAGAACGGGGCCTCTCTTTTAAGCTACCCGGTAGGATTGGCATTCTCCCCAAAGCATAGCAGGCTGTTTATTACCGATAGACGTCTCCGTGCAGTCTTCATGGTTGACATGGGCATGCACTGTCCAGCAAATGTCACATTAATCGCTGGTGGTGGTGAGCCCGGGCACACTAATGGATATGGCAACAAGGCCAGAGTTAGAAACCCAGCTGGTATTGCGGTGAAAGAGAGCGGGAAGCTGTACGTTTGTGACCAAGGTAACGGAAGAGTTAGAGTAGTCAATTTGCGAACGCTTTTCTGTCACGCTTCCCAGATTGTACAAGGGAGCGCCGAAGAAAGCCAAAGTGAGGAAGAAGATTGCGCCGGTAGACGTATCCGTAAAGTCCATGTACACGATCTTTCCCTTATTTCTGAAGGTAATGTACCGGATCTGGTGTCACCATTTGCCATATGTGCGTCTGCAAAGGGTAGCGTTGAAATGTTTGTGTCAGACGTTGGTCTTGGCAAGATTTTTTCAATTTCTGGTGTTGTAGACGATGAGGAAACTAACTGCGTCGGCCAGTTAAATGAATTGTTTTGTTTTGATCGATCTAGTTTATTAACTTCATTAGCCTTAACACGTGACGAGCAATACTTGTTAGTTGGAGACGGGAATGGTTCATGTATTCATCTTTGTCAAGTGAGAGGACGATTGAAACTGAGAACAATTTCGAATATTCCAGGCCTCATGGATATTGCAGTGACAGATGGTGGAACCGTGTTCTTGTCCTCCAGCAAAGAACACGCACTGTTCAGTTTGAAGGAAGAAGAGATGCTTGGGGTAAAGAAACCCTAACAAAAGTGTGTGGAGAAACTGCAGGCCATCGAAATGGTGTCCAAAGTCGATGGAACAAGCCTACTGCTTTATGCGTATATCGAAACAATGTTTTCGTATGCGATACCGGTAACGTAGCAATAAGAATGTTGACGTCAGCAAAGGGACTGATCCCCCTGCAAAGTAAGATGGCCCAATATGCAAACGTGTTCCGACTCGACAAGAAAGCCAAAGAAGAAGACCTACCACGTACATTTGAAGATCATGTGAAATCTGTCGAGGAGTTGGTTGCATTTCTCTCTAACCACGAACAGGAAGCCCTAGAGAGGACGGGCAAGCGAAATACCAACGGTCCCGACATGACCTAGCCTGCGTAGCAAGCGTTTCCGTTTGGTTTCGGAGCAAAGAAATACCGAGGTAGGGGACTTTCGGTTTTGACTTGCGCCACTTTTCTCGCGGTCTTTGACTCTCGTTCGTCGTTCTTTTCTCCTAAACCGTACAGAAACGCTTGCTACGCAGGCTAGACATGACCATACCTCGATGCACCCGACAGTCCTTCCTCATAGTGCTAGAATCGCTGACCAGCCTTACCAACACGCTAGCGGAGATTGGGCATAGTCACCTTCTGGACAGGATCTGTTTCGAAAGTATGACAACTTTGGGCGTGGAATGCTATTTCAAAGGAATGCGAGCAGACCACGACGTGCCTACAGTGGCTAACTACGCTTACAGAAGAGCGCGCTGCGTGGAAGACGATATGCTGCGCATTTACCAGAAGGATTTCTCATATTTCGCTGGGCCCAATTCATATTATCCGGAGAAAATTATCAAAGGTGAACCCCCAAACATCAAGACGCGACCAAACAAGCTGTCAGCAATCACTGAAGGAACAGGTAGCAAAGAAGAAGACACAAGGCGAGAAACTGTGATGCGAGAATTTGCTAAGGAGTATGGAAGAGGCGTAAGACAGGAAAATGTCCACTCAAAAACGAAAGAGCTAACTGGCACCCTTCCTTATGACCTTAGTATGTGTCCCACTACCATCACAGCCTCATTAGAGGAAAGCGAAGACGTAACAACAGCCTGCCAAGTTGTGGATGCTAATGTGGCATTGCGGAGTACGGCTGTACAGGTGCAAACCATTTACCAGAAAGACGACATATTGGCAGTAAGACACAACCGTAGAAGAGAGATCTCACCCTTCTGGTTAGCAGTTCTTCTGGAGGATGTACAAATAGAAGTGAATGGTGGAAATTTTGTGCAGCAAAGAGTATCCCTAAAGTGGCTAAACCAAACAAGTGATTCACTAACATACACCTCCGGTGATGTCTGTAATGGGAATTCCCCCAAGTGCATTCTAACCCGAGTACTCGACTTTTCTTCCGATGGATCAGACATCATTTTAACAACAGAGGAGGATAACAGGCTCTGTCGAATTGCTAATGGGGACTACGGTGACGATGATGACAATGAGAATGAAACTGCACCACCAACTGCAGAGGATGAGGGAGAAGTATCCCTCCCGATAAGACTGCCGGGAGTTAGTTTATCAGGACGGAGAACGACACGGTTTATTCTGAGATAAACCTTTCCGTTGCCTGCGTAGCTTGTAGTATAGTAATTGGACTATCTTCAGGCTATTTGTTGGTAAGCTGTAACTGAATTTTTACATTTCTGTGTGGCAATTAAACAATTCGGAGACGAATTATGTTTGAACCTGAAAAGCAATGATTTTGGCAATGTGTACCTCTTTTGTTATTGTTGACGCCGTTGTTATTATTAAAATAAGAATAGCCCTTCCTCGTTAGTGTTTCTTCAACGATGTGGACTCAGTGGACTTCAGAAACCGCTCCTATATTCATAATCCTCTCGGGTAAGGCCAAGAATTATATTTTATACTTATATTTTATATAAGACAATGTACACTTCGGGTAAAAAAAGAACAAGCTTTTTTGGTGAAAACAAAGTACAAAGGAAACGTTGAAAACCAGAAAATAGAATTTTGAAATCTGGAATCCAGCCACTTATGGAATCCGGAATCCACGGATGTGGAATCCGGAATCCACAGGCATGGAATCCGGAATCCACGTCGTGGAATCCGGAATCCAAGACTCTCTTGGATTACCTTACATGGGGCGAGCTATTCCTTACAGTTAGTTATGAAAATGGACATAGTCTTTAAAGACAGATATACAGAGATGATGTATGATATACGCCAATGATAATGCATTTTTTATTTGCATTGACATGTGATGTAACTAACCTTTCAGACCTTTTCCTTAGGGATAAGGGAACCAGTAAGGGATAATTGAGAAAATAATTTTGGGGAATTGTTTTAGGGAATAATGAAAGTTCATCTTGGTTCTACATTAATTGTGATCGACACTTTTTTTCTCCCCTTTCTTTTTTCTTTTTTTACCCCTTACCGCCTGTTTTCCTGTTTTTGCTCGTTATAATATATGCTTATCGTTATCAGTCAGAAGGCTATTCCTAAGCTCTAATAGAGCCATTAATCAGAGGGCACTGCTTTCGCCTTCGTAGGAGCCCAGGGGATGACCTTACGCTTTTCATTCTGAAGAAATGATTTTAAGAACTGATCTTGACGTCACGAATAGTCGACTCCCTGTTCATCAGTTAGTGAGAACACTTTTATTGGTTATAGGATCGCAAGCTGGATAATAAGGTAGGAATATTTTTGCCGCCAAGAAAAACCATTTTACTATATTCGCAAAACCCACGAGACAATGGCTGCATGGTTATTGTGTCTCTGTTAGCACTCGCAAACAGTCTTTTTGAAATGGCCGCTAGTTTACACGCGTAAAAAGTCGCCTCTGGAAACGGATTAATCGAGCCTTTGAAATGCCATAACAATCCATAACAATCACATTTGAACCCACAACTGACCTGCTCCCAACATCAGTGGCTTCATAGCTCAGTTGGTAGAGGATCGCACCGGTATCGCGAGGTCACGGGTTCAAACCATGTTGAAGTCCTGAATTTTTTTCAGGCTTCTTTACGCAATTGCATAAATTGCGTTCACTGCGACGATCATTTCTTCAGTTTCAATGACCATTGCATCTTTTCAGCTACAGTTATGCCTTCTTTGTTTTTAACATGAATGTAACTAAAAAAAATTGTGGGGAACATTTTTTTTTCTTTTCCACAAAAAGTGCGGGGAAAGGGGCAAGTTTTTCCCCCAGCACCTCCCCCTGCGTGTTCCCTGACTTTTAGTAGTAACGTTCTAACAACGTTTAGGGATAAGGGATATCTCCTCTTAGATTTACAAGGATCATCGAGGGATAAGAATCCCCTTATCAACAGGGCCTCATTGAACCGATTCCGGGATCATAACGAATTTGATACCTGTTTTGTGCAGAAATGATTATAGCTGCAGTAGGTATTAAAGTAGATTTAATTTACTAAACTTCAACTGGACTCCTTGGAGGGTTGGGGGGGGAGTGGCGTGGGGTACTCCCATATTTTGGCTAGCTAAGTGTCTGACGCCCGAAAAAGTATGGTATTTGAGGGTATTATTCTTCCATACTGAATCAATTTTTCCCTTGTTAGTGTTGTGTTCCCGGGAAGAACTCTTAGATAGGGTGCCGTTATCAACTGGTTAACATTCAAGAGTCTACAGGTATAAATGTCCAGCTACACGAGAAAAAAAAATGGTCCGTTAGCTAAACTTTACCTTAGAGTATCATGAAAGCGACTTAATGAAGACTTCTTCGGCGTTTCTTTTCTTCGCGTGTGACTGACAATTAATTTACGAAAAGGCCCTCTGATCACGCAGGGTATGTGTTGCCTTTAAATTCTTAGTTTGTGTTTTTTCCTTGAATTGGGTCTCATCAAGAGAGAATGATTGCCCCCGCAGTGATTTCGCCCAGAGGCGAAATCCCGAGGAGGCACCCTAGTAACTCGCGCGTACATTAAGGACAGTACTTACAGTTTAAATATACAGTCAGTATACTAGAAAAAATCTCGATTTGCTCGAACAGGGGCCGCGAGGAATCGGTAGGTAATGATGACGTTTCTATTGCTTGCACCCGCAAGTACGAATTGGTTAGGATGACGTAAAGACAGAAAATCCCGAAGGGACCGCTCAGGTAGATTTTGTGACATTTATTGTGCAGTCATACTTCGATACTCTTTTGCGTTACGCAGTGACATTCTGTGGAGCAGTTGTTTTGAAAGTTATGGACCAAAAGACACTCGTTAAGCGCAGATGAGGTTATAAGGTGCGTTTAACTGTGTACGTGTGAACACTTGGATAGTTTGCCAAACACGAGTTCACAAATCTTTGATTTATATTGGAAACCTTGCCAGACACTCTTTCTCTCTCTTTGACCGGAATAAGACTCAGCCCCAAACAAGCAAGACGAGTGAACAACGGCTAACCTTATCACTAGCAGATTGATGGACAACTACAGAAATTCGCCGACAATCAAATTCTGTGCTGACTTATTCCCTACTCACAGATGTCCTTCCGTTATAAAGTTTCAATTAAGACTAGAATGCGCGAGCGCGAATCGATCAACTGAATGTAAAAGTGAAAGAGAAATAGTGAAAAATTCAACTTCTAGTTAAATCTTTTCTTATGGTTTAGAATAAACTTTTCTCGAAACTGATAATGTTTTGATCAAAGCTGTGTAAATCGAGCGGAACCTTGCGTTTCCTGTATTTATCTCACCTATTGTATGGACTTCATTATGAATCGGTATATTTCAAAGAGCTACACAACCAGCAAGAATAGTATTGACCGACAACATACAGAACGGGGGCAGCTTTAGTGTCAACTGTTACTAGTCATAGTGTAAAAAAGGGGTCGATAGGCAACACAGGACTTTAACCTCATGCCAAAATGCTGCTTGGTCCAATAATTTTTTCTTTTTCTCGTCTCCGACGGGTAGATTATGCTCTGGAGGAAAACGTTTTGACTGATCAAATGTGATTTTTGCCGCTTATTTCACACTGAGAGGTCGTAACACACATATCGATTTTCTGTGGTTATTGTTTCTGGTCGGCATGATTTGTCCTCCGCGCAAGAGTAGTTTTTCTTTGACCTCTTTTGAGATGTAAAGTTCTTCATTGCGGCTAATTAAGGGTTTTAGTTTGCTTAATCTGCCAGTATTCTGACGTCACTTGCTCCTTGCCAGCTGAAAATAGACTATGACATCATCCTATCTTAATGTAATGCATGACGTCATGGTCATTAATTTACACTATGACATCATCCTATCTTAATGATATGTATGACGTCACCGGCGTTAATTTATTCCCCCGAAAGTTAATGGAATTCCCCCGCAAAGAAAAGGTTAATTCGGTGCCTTATCCACTACTAACACGATATGGAGGTATGGCTAAAATTTCTGAGGGAATTTAATGGCCGTTCCTTTTTCTTAGATGATAAGTGGAACACATCTCCTCCTCTCGAATTGTATACCGATGCGGCCGGATCAAAGGGCTATGGTGCTATCTTTGGCCCTCACTGGTGCCTCCTGAATCCGAATAATTATAAGCGATTTTCTTTTTGTCCGCGAATGTGACGATCAGCTTGCAATGCATTGTTACGCTGGGCCCAGCTCGTTAGCGTTTTTAGCAGGATGTTAAATTCTCACGGATGGTGATTTGAAGATCCAGATCTCGAAGAATGGGTTGCAGCTTAAACTGAAGCTATATCAACTATGGAGAGTTGCGATGTGACTCAGTCATGATTACTCTAAAACAAAAGCAATGTATCGACCTCTCTAATCTTAGCTTTCAACACTTCGGCTAGCTCGTTCTCGTTCTTATCTTCGCTTGTATTTCTATTTCTAGCCGGCGCTTTACGGGAAGACTGGTTGGTTTCTTGAAAACTTCTGCGAGACTGAGCTTGTTCGAGCTTTCCGTACTTATTCTTAAGTCTATCTACGCGCCTGTAGTGGAATTTCACGAGGGCCCCTACAAGGGCCTGTTCGGCTTTCTTTCTTATGGAGTTTATGTCTTTCTTCAAGTCTTCGTCGGGCGTGATATTCGCCACCGCATTGTATCTTAAAGTCTTAGGGCATGAGCCCTTCTCTAGGTGATTGTTCAGCAGACTGATAGAGTTTGTGGAGCTTTCAATCTTCTCCTGGATGGAATTTAGCTCTTCTTCATCAGGGGCACCCAACGACAATTTTCGGAAGAATATCTGTTCGGAAGACGATTTGAGATCTAGAATCTTCGAAACATTTGTTTTAAAATTTCTTGCTTGCCTGCCTCCCCTAGTAACTTCGAACATCTAAAATATGGTATAATTGCCCATTTCTAACGGATTTTTAACCTAAAAAGGTCACCTAGAATTTTCGGGAGCCTTTTTTCTGGCTGAAATTTTCCAAAAGGTAAGTTTTGATCCCTATAATTTTCGGATCATTAGACTTTCAGCTAGGAAATCCGAACAGATGAAAAATTTTTAGGGGATAAAAATATGCCTATATCTACCGTTTAAATACTAAAATACGTTTAATAATGCTATGTTTAAGTGGTTTTGAACTATATTCTCGTTGGGTACCCCTGCTTCATGACGTGATCTCTTTCTATCGGAGCTGCCGTTAGTTTTGGCGGACTTTGGTGGTTCTTCTCTTCGGCACTTCCTGCCTCTGTCGTTGCTCGTTTTCTCAGAGCCTGTAGGCTCTTTGGTTTTCTGCTCACTTGGTCTCTTCCTGCTCTTTGGCTCATTCGTTGTATCCCTGTTACGTTCCTGTCTTTGAACATTTGGGATACTGTCATCGTAAAGATTTCCCGTTTTAAATATTCCTGCTTTTAAAGATTCCTCGTTTTAAAGATTCTCTATTTTAAAGATTCCCCGTTTAAAGATTCCCTCTTTTAGAGATTTCCCATTTTAAGGATTTCCCATTTTAAAGATTCCTGCTTTTAAAGATTCCCCGTTTTAAAGATTAATGCTTTTAAAGATTCCCTGTTTTAAAGATTCCCGCTTTTAAAGATTCCCCGTTTTAAAGATTCCTGCTTTTAAAGGTTCCCCGTTTTAAAGATTCCCGCTTTTAAAGATTCCCCGTTTTAAAGATTCCTCTTTTCCGTTCCCCGTTCCCCATTCCCATTCCCCGATTCCCCGTTCCTTATTTTAAAGATAGCCGTCAGCCACCTATAAAAGGTTTCGTGTTTCGAGCGTGATAACCTTTGCCTTTGGCTTTCACGGTGTGCCAGAATTCAACTTTCGTTATTTTAAAAGGTTAACAGCTGTTAGAAAATCTCAATCTTCAATCTCAAAGTGAAATTTTGACTCCAGTACTGCAATCCCTTTGTAAATGAAATTCATTCCTAATTTATGCGCGGAACGCGCTGATCAAAAACATGTCAAGAACAGGAGCCGATTAGTATCGGCTCCTGGCGCTAATTACTATAATGGCTGTCAAACTTCAAATGTTTGGCGGCGAAACATGTCACGTTCACGTGAAACTAGACCACGCGGGTCACGGAAACAACAGACAAAAATAACCTTCGCAGCACGCGCGCGGACTTTAAATAGATTTTAAAAAATTAACATGGGGCACAGGGATTCGCTCTCTTATAATTGGGTCATTCTCTCTTGGTCTCATTTTGTAGGTTTCCGCCTTAAGAGCGTGTCTCTGTAAGAACCGACCAGTGATTTCGGATCAGAAAATTACATAATTAGTTACAAAAATGCATTTTGTTTGACCGAAAATGCGAAAAAAAATGTTTTACGAATTTTTGAATTTTCGGCCGGTTGGCACCGGCGCCATAGCCTTTGAAACTGCAAAAATCGCCTACATTGACGGCGCTACAGAAAACAAACAACTCGTTCAAGAAGCCCGATTTTCTTTTTAATATACGGATACACCACTCTAAATGTCCTAGCCATATCACAGTTCCGAATTATTTATTCATTTTAACGGCAAGAATCTTTTTCCTGGCACGTGTTATCAGCCTTCCATCAAAACGCAAAAATGGCTTGATGGATCTCACCTTAGTTCATTTTCATTTTAAGGTTATTTCTTAATCATCTGAAACTATATTGGCCTTTGATTCCGTGTTTATACTTGTTTTGTTGCAATGTTATCTGGTTTCTTTGCTAAAAATAGTCTTTCTTTATGATCGACTCCTCACGATATGCCAGTAAAATTTCTTGGGCAAATAAAACTAATTTCTTTGCAAATGTGACGCGATAAGACGCTAAGAAAGCGATTTAGCCCAACTATCTATTTGAAATACGGTATGTGTAGTTGTATGCGTGACCTTGTAATTCATACCCAGTCCTCGTGGACTGGACACGAAGCAGACAAGAGGGTCTCAATGGGGTGGTGGCTTTTACGGCTTTCGGCTAAATTTTGGCTCTTTTACGGCTATCGGTTAATTTTTTTCAGTTACGGTTAACGAAAAAGTTAAAAATTAATTTCTTTTGTTTCAAAGAGTTAAATATTAATAAACCTCTATTTTTGTATCTTTAAAGGAAAATAGAGATCTTAAGACCATCTCGGGGTGAATTTAGAGCAAATGTAAGGGTTTTCTTTCCCCAGGGACAAAGCAAACTGTCCTTAATAACGAGCTGTTGTTGTTGTTGTTTTTTTTTACGATAGCGAAGGAATGCACAGACCCACTGTCTGCTGTGGCCTTGGAAAAGTCTACTTGTAGAGACTTTCGAGGCTAGAAATATTCAGTATATACGTTGCAGAAAGAAAGAAAAGATATAACGTTCCACTTAAAATACGAACTGATATTCGTCAGGGCGGGTCTGTTCGTATGTGTGAGACATAATTGATCATTATTTGGGCTACAACTGGCTCGAAACTGTCGCCCTTAAGGACGTGTCAATATCTTTTTCTTTTAGGAGCAAGGAAAAGCTAAAAAATGATCATGTAACATCATTCAATTTTTGGAAACACAATTCCCACTCGATCTGGTAGGCTTTCTACTGCGCTACTTTGCGTTTTTACTTGCTTTTCAGGAGAAAGGATTTGTACAGTTGGTTATTGCGCGGCCTTCTATGGGACAAGTCTAAAGGCCGATCTCCAAATGTGACCTCCAATCCCTTTTTTGAACTCCTCTCCTTTCCGTGTAGCTTTAAGTAGCTGTAAATACCCATAATAAGGAGCATTAATGGGGGTTTAGAAGGGTGGGTGTAGGGCTCAGGTTAGGTACGAAGATAGTCATGCCTCTTTGGAGGTACGGACTTAGCTTTTTACCCTTCAGTTGAAAAAAAAAAACTACTCATCAAGTCATAGTAAATGTCATAGTATTCTTAATGCTGATCAGGAGCCCATAACCTGTGCCGATTGAGTTGTCTAAGAAACTGTACATCCATCTTTACATAAAGAGAAGGTCGAGCGAATAACTCTTGAACAATTTCCTTAAACCTTTAAAAGGAATTGTTCCATTACGTGTTTGATTTTTCTGGTTAATTATTAGCCTGCGTAGCTTTGGTCTGGCGCGCAGTACAAGCTTATAAGGCGGGCGAGGGCTTTGAAACCGCGAGTAGATTGGGGCGGGAGCAATGCTCGTTCGCGCGAGCTTCGCGCGACAAGACCGCCATTCTACGCAGGCTAGTTTATTTTATAAAGTAGTAATGGATTTTTGCTTTATGTAAAATGTGCACGGAAGGATTTTACAAACTATTTATTTTTTCTGCATCCAGATTTCTAGTATTCTTGAAAGTCAATTTAATATTAATAGACATTTCGCTCTCAGTAGAGAAGATGCACGTGACTCAGGAAACAACGCGGAAATTTGGCAATTTTACTTAGTAAAATCAATTTGTATTCTAAAAGTATTTTTCGACACCTCGAATCCTACTAAGGAATAAGACTGTTTTGAGTTTATTTTGCCATCTGTTAATCAACCCGTCATAATCAGTGCAAGTCGCGATTGTGTTGGTCCGAAAAAATACTTCTATGCTATGAGTCGATATGAGTCGAAAGTCATACTCATCATTGTCGTGATACAGCTATTTGCAGTACTTCGGTCAAGACGTAAAAACAAAAATTTGGGCAAATAAGCATTGCAATTGGCTAGAGGAAATCACTTAGGGAGCGAATGTACAGAAGAACAGATGAAGAGACAATATATTGTAGCATTACAAAAATGTCTATTCAATATCGGTAATTGGTATTACAAATAATTTCGAAGCCTTATGCACATCATTGCTCAGAAACTACCCGTGCAGGAGCCCATGATGGGCTCCTGACCCGTGGTATACCCTTCGCACCTGGATTGAGCCAAAGTCGTCAGTCACTGGTATGTCTGTCGTAAATACGCATAGAATGAAGTGAAACCTTTTTACTGGTGATCCGCATTAGCGCGGAAGTACATGTTATCCCGGGGGGTGCTCTTGGGAATTCTTGTTGGGGGTGTGCCGCCCGGACCCTTTTTCAGACCAAAAAACGTCATTTCAGTTTAACACCGTTTTTCAGACCTGGCCTCTTAAATCCATACCTGTTTTTAGACCTGGCCTCTAAGAAAGTAGGTCGTCATTACTTAGTGTTATATACCGCTGGACTTATTGTAACGCGCCTACAATTATTGATTGTTGTAGTTGTAGTCTTAACCAATCATAATAAACCACGCTGGTTGACTTGTGATCCAACATGGCGTGCATGTGGTGAATACATAGCATGGTGTCGAAGTAGTGGGATTTAGAACCACAAAGACAACACAAACCGGATAAACATGGCAGAAGGATACGCTAATTCATCGTACAACTGGCAGAACATGAATTGGACAGCGGCAGATTCGGGAGAATGGGAGAGGTTTTATCAACACTGTGAATTTACCTTCGGCGGGCCCTTTTAGCAAATGCACCGAGAAGAAGAAATATGCAGCCTCATGAGCTTTGTTGGCGATAAAGGCCGAAAAATTTATTTGACTTTCGACTGGCAAACTGTTCAAGTAGGGACGGGAGACACTGCGCAAAATGTCAGAGAAAAAGAGATACTCGAAAGAGTCGCCGGTAAATTCAAAGCACACGTAGAAGCCAAGAAGAATCCAATCATGGCGGCGGTCAAGTTCGATTGAAGACGTCAGTTGCAAGGGGAAACTTTCGATAGCTTTGTCACTGATCCGAAACTTTTGGCCCGGGGTCTGGACATTACGGAGACTGAGAAATTAATTCGGAACGCCATAGCCTGCAAATCGTTAGATGAGCGAGTACGTCAACACCGCCTCGAGAAGAGCAAACACCTTAGCCTTGATTCAGCCATTAATGTGGGCCGAATGTTTGAAGCAACCAAGGATGGCATGCAAGTCATGGCCGGAGAAGACCCTAGAGTGGCGGTCAATACAGTAAAATCAAAACCTGGCCCACCTAAAAGGCGCATAAATCAAAAGAAATACAAACAGCCACCAGAGATAAGTGACCAGCAAGACAAATGTGGAAATTGTGGTTATCGTGCCCACAAGCCACAAGAGAAATTTCCAGCCAAGAATGAACCCTGCAACAAATGTAACAAATTAGGGCACTTCGCCCAAGTGTGCAGAAGTCAAAAGAACCGATTTAACTCACTCAATGAGGAGGTCTACCCTAGTGATGATGAGGAAGACGCCAATGTACACCTACTAAATATAGCTAGCCTAGAAATGAACGGCGTTACTAAAAAATCACACTGCGGCGATGAAGATGAATGGTGGGAGACTTTGGAAGTGGGTAACAGTACCCTACGATGTCAGCTGGACACTGGGGCGCATGTTAATGTCATAAACATCTCCCAACTTCAACAAGTAGCACCAAATGCC